AGAGAGAGAGAGAGAGAGAGAGAGATCCACAGTCATGCGAAAAATGTATCATACAGTTGGGAAGAACCAGTAGTTGAGATCCACAGTCATGCGAAAATGTATCATACAGTTTGGAAGAACCAGTAGTTTCCTTGCTTATGTTTCTTTCAATAGTTACCTTCTCATGTCTTTTAAATGTTCACCTTATGTTTCTTGTTCTGAAAGTATGAGATTTCTCATGTACTTTTCCACAGCATGTCTACCAATTTGCATCTTGGGATATGGAAAACCAATAATTTCAGTACCTTTTTTTCTTAGTAGTTTTCTGTGAAGGAAAGAGAGAAAAAGGGAATGTATACAATGAGACCATTTACCTTTAATACAAGTGGTTACAATTACTTCCAACTGTCCGATGTAAATTCTGATTGTTTGGGTGTATCACGAAGTTCGAGAAAATCTCTTTTGAACTCTAAGCATGGTGAATGGAATAAATGCAGTCATTTAAATTCATATCCAATGGTTAAGATTAATTGTGACCACCTTATACCAAAGATAAATGGTCACATTGTATACTTCTCCATATGAAAAGGGTTTGAGAAATTTAAAAGTTAAATGCTCTCTATTTCGCTCTCATGTGTATGTGATCGACTAATTCAGAGTTGAAGGCATGAAAAATACCACTCAACAGTCGTACTTTATGAAATTGTTAAAGGTGTCAAATCATCGTATTTAGCATTAGGAATGTTTTTTTAAGTTCTCATTTGGCTCGGCAATGGAGTAGGGTTAAATTACTAAAATACTCATGTGTTAGGGTTCTTAATCTTGAATAGAGACAATTTGATAATTTTTTATTTTTTATTGTTAGGAGTTGAGTGAAGCGAAACTGAAATGATGTTAAATAGGATGACTTGACACTTGAAATAATATTGTTAATAATTTGACTATTAAATTTATATTTCTCTTTAGTTTCTCTTAGAAGCGTGCACTAAAATCCATTGTAATTTATTTTGACCGAATTGGTAGGGAAACTAGAAATCTTGCTTGGACTTGAGTGATTTGCAGTTGAGGTTAGCAAAGCTATATTTCAAGTTAAATTCCTACTGCTGAACTGCCCAAAACAAAAATGTTTCTTTTCCTTCCATAGTCACCCCGTAATTTTTATGCCAAGAAAAACAATAAAGATATTGAAGGCGAAACAAACATGAAAAGTTTATTATGCATCTGTAGATGCATGAGTCCACCTTATTTTTTAGATTTGAAACCCATCCTAAATCACTTTAAATCCATTATTGCATTTCATCCGTGAATTTGTCGGTTCAAAATATGGTGCATATTTAATGAACGGCCAAACTCTGACTATCTTGAAGATCCAAATTCTATTTTATTTTTTAAATTCATGATTGTGATGTTCACATTTTCATTAGGATAAAGTTTAGATGATGATTGTGATGTTCAAGGTTATCGAATTGTTGTATCTTTTCATATAAGATCCATCTCTAAGTTGGATTATGGAAGGTATATGCAATAAGTTTGTTGGCCAACACTCCCAAAACCTGCCCAGAAAATATGAAATCTATATGGCCAAAATAACATCTATGACCATGTGGATTATCACAGACCAATTGATTAGCTAATGATCGCTGCAAGATGGTAGGGATACACAATTTATAAATAAATCGAATTGGACGATGGACCCAACCCCCAACACTCTTCAACTAGGGTGGCAACAGGTCGGGGTCGGACCCGGACTCAGACCCAAAAAATGTAGTGTGCGACCTGGATTAGGGCCCGACCCAAAAATTAAAATATATATGTATTTAACTATATTCAAATGCATTTTATGTATTGGGACCCAAAAAAATTACGGAACCGGACTTGAACCCAGACCCAAATAGTGTTTGGGTCTAAGATTTAAACCTGGACCCAACTCATCGGATCCAATTTTTGGACCTATACACGGACTTGGATTGGGTCTACCTTTCGGGTCCCAGTTCAGGTCCGGGTCTAGCTCAACACATACATGGATGGTGATAACCTCATTATTATGGGTTATGATGGCTCTTTATGGATCATATAACAAGGCACAAGTTTAAAGCCCTACCAGTAGAACATTATAAATATGTTATTCCTTTTATTACTATATAAGGAAACCTTCATAGCGCTATACATGTTTATGGAATATATTGTTCCCATCTGTTTGATTTGGAGAGTGGAGAGTTGGGATAGCTTTGATGTTGATCAGAATGTATATTGCATTTGATTTTTATTTTTTATATTATAAATCATTTTGAAGTGAAGATTAGGGCATGAGAACTTCTCACATCGGAAAACCTAATAATAAAAAAAATATTTTTAATAAAAAAAAATGATCATAATACGACGACCAGTTTGTCCCAAAATTCGAATGTAACTACAATGAACCACTGATTCTTTTGTCAAACTCTAGCGACTCGCAAGTCCTAAGAAATTATCGAAAATTCACCAAAGTAAATCGACCATTGGCTCACCATTGCAGTCCAAAATTCGAACCATCTACCTTTTTTACCAGGTAAACATAGCTTTTACAATTTTTTCATGAATTTTCCCATCTCTTGAGCCGGCTTGCCATGGAGTAGCAAATGACTCGATTGCCAGGTGACCGAGTCGTCCATTTGTATGATTGTACCTGGTCTTGACTCTTGAAACACTACTCCCTTTTCTCAAGAAACACAGCTGCTCCATCTCTCTATAGAGAGTCCTTGCACCCCTAAAGTGATTCTTTTCGAAATTTTTATTCATTTGAATGGATCTAGGACCAACTTTTGAGAAGTAATGAAAAAGAGGAGTATTTGGCCGAACTAGTGTTTTAAATTCGGCGATTTCTAAACCAGATTGTCATTTCGGATGGAAATTGCTCGGGACCGAATGGGTTCCAATAGGGTATGGGTCATGGCTTAATTCGTGTCCTAAGTCCTTCTTATATATTTTTTATTTTCATTTTTTTAGCTTATTCAATATTTTTTTGGTCCTCTCCAAATCGTCATACCATAAAAACTTAATTTTTATTTATTTTTTAATATTTTTTAGACCATCTATTTAGATCGACCTAGATCCAATTTCGATTGTTAATCCACCAATCCAACACATATCCATTGTTCTACCCCTTTGGGTTTTGAAATACTCACCCAAACATTTTGAGAAGGATTTATGGCCAAACTTTTTAAGAAGGAAGAATTGAAAAGAGAAAATAAGGCTCCATCCGCTGTACTTCCAAAACAAAATAACAAAAAAAAAAAAAAGAGAAATAAATGGTAAGCACGGCATATCTTATATGTTCAAGGGTACATTCGTTCTTCAAATATAGACTTCAACCTTCAAGGGTATGTCTGAAATTTCTAACCCTAAGATCGTTGTTTTCAAACCATATGAGACATTTATGAAACCTCAAATTTCCCTCCAGTTTTCAAAATAGAAAACAACGCCACAAAATTTAGGGTTTCTGCAACTAAGACACATCAGTCGTTTGACCTAAAAAAATGTTTTTATTGGCAAAAGAGAGTAAAAAAAAATGGTCGCTCAAGAACAAATTAGAGCCCTATTTCAAGTAAGTTGTCGTTGATTCTCGAAATTTTCTCAGATTTTCATGGATTGTTCTCTGCAATTTAAGAATTCTTATTTTGTTTTTTGCCTGTAATTTTTTTGGACTGTCTTGGAAATTCTCTTTGGAGTCAATCAATACAATTAAGAATTCGAGCCTTCTTTCAATGAATTCATGAGAATCTGTATCAATTTTTGACTGATTTTCTCTTGGAATTACAACTTTTTCGTAAGCCTCTGCATCTAAAGAATAATTTATTTTTATAACACTGTTTTGGCCAATGTATATTTCATGGATGTAAAGGATTGAACATTTAAAAGAATGAATTTCTTCTCTTTCGACTGTTGAATGATTATATTTAAGGGTTCAAGTCTTTTTCCAATTCATAATCAAATATATGTATGAGATCTGTTACTTTGACTGATTTTCCTCTAAATTTAGAGGTTTTGTCTTGGATTGTGACACATTTTCTTGGAATATCTGCATTTTGAATGATCCAAATCTTCTTCACTCTTTTTTGGAGGATTGTATATTTTAAGTATTTTTAATCAATTTTTTTGATATTTTAAACCTTGTTTTAATGGATTCATGAGAATCATTATCAGTTACTGGTTTTTCATTTGATTTTCCTCGAACTTCAGAAGCTCTTGACTCGAATTGTGACATATTTTCCTCAGAATGTCTCGATTTGAAGTAATCGTTCTGTTCGTTATTGTTGATTCGGCTAATCGACATCATCTTCTTTTTTTTTGAAAGGAATTTATATCAACTATTTACCATTTAATCTGCATCAACTATTTGTCCTTTTTTACCTAATCAAATTCATGGTTACGTTTATCTCTTAATTAAATTAATAAATAGGTAAAATGTTAAATAGTTTTTCTCTTGGTTGCATTTCGATAAATGTTCTTGTTCCTTTTACCTGTTTTTTGGCTATATTTAGAGATTTTGTTTAGTATTGTAAAGTGTTCTTTGACATTTCATTGAGCATCACATCAGTTGTAATTTTCTTGAATTGAATGATTTCTGTAACATATTTCAAGAAAGAAACATTTGTGGAGAGGAAATTTTTTTATTTTTTGTAGTTTAGTTAATCTGTTAAACATTTTCCTGTGTTTTTTATGTTTTTGAAAATAATATCAATAAAATTGTCAAACCAGTGGTCGATTCATTAACCGATTTACCTGCAAAGTACTACTTTTTGAAGATTTTTACTTAAGCAGCTCCTTGACCATTTTGTTTAAACTTTGCCAAATTGTCTTTATTTCTAGTTTGGAATTTTGAACAAACAAGAGCATTTTGACCATGTAATCAAATAGCTTAAATAATTTGTATTTGTTTGGGATTCCAAACCCAAAACAAGTATTTTTCATTTTAAATGTTTCATTGCGAGTTTGAAACTTTAGAAAAGGTAATGTTCTTCATTAGTGGCAGGTAACCCTTTGGTCACTTAAGCTAAATTATCAAAAATATATTTTTTGGTTCATGATTTCACATACTGAAATAAATTTTTTAATAAAAAATATTTTTCATTTTAGATCTTGGAACAAACAAAAGTATTTACTCAACTAACTTAAGTAGATTAAATTACTGTAATACCCTCACCATGTCAAAATCATAACCCAAATTAAATGCAGTCAAGGTATTTTTGACAAAATTCTTAAGGAGGCACCATTTCAATAATTGGTTGATTAAGTAACTTATTGATTTTTCGAAGTAGTTTGATCATATTGATACTGCTCTTTGCTTTTTTGTTGTTGTTGTTAACATTTATGAAATAAGCACATAAAATTATGGCATATTATGAGACTATTTACCTTTATCATAAGAAGGTCACAAATATCCCTAGCTATCTAATTTCCAATTGGACATTTTTGAGTGTGCCACGAAGTTTGAAAAACTTTTTTTTAAGCTTTGCACATATTAATGACACGCTCACACTCACCCGATTTAAAATTTGATAGACAAAAGTTATTGTGACTTTCTTGAGTCTAAAATAATTAGTCTTTTTATATAACTTTCCTATATTAAAATTAGAAGAGGGTGGGTAATTCCTCTCATGATTTGCTCGCACCTTCAAAATATATATGAACAATTGATTCATGCGGGCTGGGCCACATTTCTACCATATGCGGTCCAAAGATACAAATAAGTGGCCCATTTAAAAACGACTAATGATCCAAATGTTGTTTTAATATAATAATTATTTCTAATTCTCAATTTTTTTCTTTTTTGCATATTCATGATCTTTATGTTAAAAATTATATATTCTTAAATTAAGATCAAATTTTATTTTAAAAATATATTTGTTGTCAAGCCTGCATTTATGCAATGCTTGCTGCATCCTCAAAATATTAGGTGGAATAGCTTGCAAATTTGATATTCCACCCATGTTTTGGGTGATAATAGCCAAAGCAAAGGTACGAACCACAAAATCTGGGTTAATATTACAGTCCCCAATTTGAAATGCGGAAGAAAAAGCAAAGAGCATTTCCATAAAGAAAGGGTATTTATGGAATTTGGAGAATGTTGTACTTTTACCATCTGCCACGTGGATGCATCAGGTACGTTGCTTGCTTTGGTGGGTTTACGTTTCTTTCCCCATTTTTCGACCTGTAAAAGATTGTGCATATGAGGCCGTTTGCTGTGGTCACAGTAGTAGAGAAACTCAACAACTCATCTGACCAAACTAACCTTTCCATGACCATCTCACTCTCACAAAATAATTTTTAATTGCTTACAACTTTTGCTAGAAGTTACTGCATTAAAATAAATTTTAATTGCTTACAACTTTTGCTAGAAGTTACTTCATTTTATTTTGACAATTTTGACTGCTTACAACTCGTGGTTGTCCTTGATATCCATGTATGCAAAAAACCACACATTTAACTGTTTGAAATATCAGGAAAACTTAAATAATAAAAAAATAAATGATGCAATTTTCAAACAAATTCTCTTTATCCGCACCTCTTAAGGCCATGGAGTACTTACCTGAGAATGTGGTTAGTGAAAAAATAGGCTTTGTGATAAAAATATGGTAAAAAGTAAACCCACACCTAAAAAACCTACTAGCAAATGGTTCTAGTGCTAAAGAGGGTTTAAAGTTTTAAAAATGGCGTAAATTTGGCTGATATGTGAATGTTTGAAAATAGGTGGTCTAGAGAATGTATTACATGATGTACTATTTTTGGGCTTTGAAGTCTATTCTTCTTTTTCTTTCAAATTTATAATTGTTGAGGTCGAGATTATCACTTTGAGAGTTTTTTTGGCATCGGAGGTTCTAGTATCGTAAACCTCTATGATGTTTTAAAGCTCCAAAAATAATACAAATCATATTGATTTGTGAGCACTTGAAAACAAAACGGTCTAAATAACGCATTACAAGATGCATTATTCTTGAGGTTTGGAATCTCTTTTTTTTCTTCTGGCTCATAAGTCATAATTGTAAAGGTTGACATAAACATTTTTAGAGATTTTTAGAACCAAAAGTACATTTTTGAAGAAGTTCTGAGTAGGATTGGTGATAGGCTAGGCCAGGCGAGCCTGCCCTGGTTCCTATAGGCCTTGCCTTAGTCTGGCCCTAGTTCCTATAGGCCTTGCTCAACTAGGCTGAAGAGGCCCTAGCTCTGGTTGGGGCCGGGCTAGGCCCAATGCACCCAAAGGTAAAAATATGGGGAGAAAAGGTTATGCCAAGCTGTGCCATCTCTCGTGGCCCAGGCTGGGCCCGGACCTCAAGCCACATTTTGTGACTCAGACCCTAATTTTTTGCAACCCCCTTGATTTCGAGATGCTGACTTGACATTTCACTAAGCCCAAGTTAGTGGATAGAGCTGGTGTTTTAGAACCTTGTGATTTTTTATTCGAATCTCCAATCTAGATGGAAATTAGTCATGACCAAACTGGTTATGGAGTGTATGGGTCTAGGACTGATTCCCACTTAAAATCTCCATGTATATCTTTTAATTTTTTTGAAGTATATCTAATGTTTTTTTAAGTGACCTTTATATCCCCATCTTATAAACCACTATTTTTATTTTTTATTAATTTTAAATTTTTTTGCATTACCAACTTAGACCCATCCAAATCTGTTAGAACAATCCCACACAGATCTATGAATAAACGACTCACCCCACCAATTTGGGTGGCTAAAATAGAGATACTTGGACATTTAATAAAAGGGTGCAGTTGGCATATGGATGCATCCGTAGGTGTAGAGGTAAGGTGCACCTTCAAATTTTATCATGGTATATAATTTTGATGCAAAATGTTATTAGGATTATCTCAAAATCTATTTTTATATCTAATTATAAAATTTTAAATTTAAAAAATAGTTAAAATCAGATCTATAAACATATGAAATCTTGAAAATGGATGGTGTAGATAATATGTTATAAAATACATTATTTCTTAGACTTAAAATCTTTTTATTTTTCTTAATCATACATCTCCATGTCGAGATGATTGATAAAAGGGTTTTTCAATGTTAAATCAACCTTTTCCGATGGATTGTCGAGGGACATCCGTAGTTCTACGTTATTAGGTTGTATCCTTACATGAACTTTTTCCTTCAATGAAAAAGAAAGGGAGATCCCTCCATGAATGATAGTTGCCAGTTGAGATTGGATTGAATTAGACCCATCTTGGCCCTCACTACCTACCCCACACCCACTCGTGTGTGAGCTTTTGGACCAGGGGCCGTTGCATACTTATGATAGACTAAACAGGAGAAAGAAGACTTTTTCGAAAGGGGGGACCCAAAATTCTTGGTACGTAACCTCACATGCGTGCACAGCCCGGATCCTTAGGGCACATGGGTCCAAGAGAAATGGGGCTTTCTGATCTCAGGTGGGCCAAATCATGGAAAAAAGGGCAGTGGATAATGATGGATATGGTTTGTTGCTTGGAAGAGGGAAAAGCCACTAACTAATAAGCATTAATTTCTCACTCCTTTTCTCTCTTTCTTTTTGCTTATTATACACCATGGCTCTTTGACAGTGATTGTCATCAAGAAGATATGTGCAATTGTGCATTCCTCTTGATTAGTGATCTGGCCCTGCAAATTGATGGTGTTTGAGATCTGGGGTTTTTGCTAGAGGGATGGAGAATTCAGTAGAAAATTAGTGGGATAGGGGATTCTGGGGTTTTTTTGATAGAGTCGAGGAGGATTCAGTTGATAAGGGATCTGGGTTTTCTGCTAGAGGAATGGAGGGTTCAGTTTATTGTCACTGTAAGTCTTTTTGTGTGATTTTGGTTGCTGCATGTGCTGCTCATGCCTGCATTCTGTTGTGGGTTGTTGAGATTTTTCAGTTTTTGTCAGTTTGGTGTTTGTTTTTTTTTTTGCATGGTTTTTGGATTTGGGTTTCTGATTTGTGGATTTGTTGATCTGGTGAAAGCTGTTATTAACTGTGAGCCCAATATTGCATTTCCTGATTTTGGTAGGTGTTGCACTTGGTATTGGTTTTGGAAAATGATCGCATTCTGTTAGTTTTGCTCAACTCATATCTAAAGTTCCAGTTTTTATTGATTTTCTTTGTGGGTCATTCTATTTTGTTTTTTTTTTGTTGCTGATTTTTGTTTTTGTTGGGCATGTCTTCATATCGCCTTTTCCATGATGGTTTTCGTTGCTTTTGGTGGCCGCAGATTTTTAGGCTGAATTCTTTTTGGTAGTTTTTACTTTTTTCTGTTTTTTTTTCTTATTTTTAAAGGTTCCCTGTTTATATTTGGATCCATCAGATCATCTGCTATTTTATGTTTCTCTGCGCCTTCATTTTTAATTTTTTTAATCCAGACCTTATTCACTTGTCTGTGTAATTCACTTTTTGTCTCTTTGAATTGTTGGTTTTCTTTGTAGCGAGTGCTGTTGGGTTTGATTGAGTTTGGTAATATAGTTGCGGTGATTTCTTAGAATATATTGACGGGTGGTGATTCATTAGCAATGCTTAGGCAATTCATGTTAAGCATCTGTGCTCCAACTTGCATTTCCATATCCCCCCTTGCCATGACTGGCTTGAAGGAGTTGTCCAACAGTGCATGCTCATCGCTTACAACCAGGAAGAGTTGGACATACCACTTCTCAATAACTAATAGGCATCCACTTCTCACGTTTTCTGTTAAATAGCATACTACCTATATTCAGGCTAATGATTTAATTGGTGAAAATTTTCCATAGAGCTGGTTGTCACATGGTTTAGAGAATCAAAGTCTGTTCCTAATCTTCTAGGCTAGTATTCACATGAAGTGCTTGCTTTTAATCTGCATAATATTGCTTAGTGCCACGTTGATGGGATTTACTGTTGGTACTATTTTTGTGCATTCAGTAGCTTCCTTAGATGCAATACCAGAACCATGGGACTTTCAATATTCAAGTGTTGCATATTTATCAATCGTTTGAATTGACGGGTGAGCAGTGAGTATGATATTGGGGTTGATAATGTGAAAGATTTATCATTGAATTAGTGGAAAGTAACCTACAAATGAAAGTACACCTTCATCTTCAATTTTTTAATTCAGATTTGTGGTACAAAAGAATCTCGGAAGAAATATCATGGGTGGCAACCTGGGTTTGAGTTGTCTTAGATTGGTTTTGACAGGGTGAATCGGTCCCAACTTCCCATAAGATGTCCTGGAGACTATATGGTTTGCATTTGGAAACATTATCATACTGTAAGTATCATTTATTTGTAATTTTACTTTGACACATTCAATGTCTTACTAAGTTAGATGGTGTTAGGGATCCATTTATGTGAGCAACATGGTTTGAATTGTAGAGACTGGATGATGATATTTGGTTTTTCATGTTCTTCTTTTGGAGTATAATATGTAAATTTCTTTTTCCCTTTTCTATTTATATGCTATCTCATTCTTTCCGCTGTCTTTCTAATTAAAAAATGTGTTTCAATAGCTTATTTTAGCATAAATAAATAGGATATATACTTACCACATAATATCGATTATCATGCATTAGAATTTTTTGACCTCATGAACAAATGGTATTTGTGATTATTATCTAACCAAATATGCTTTGTATTCTTTTAGGCTTTTTGTGAACCATGGAATGTGCATGTTCTAGCAAGGACATATCAACCACCACCTCAATTGTATGTTCTTGAGTACTATGGATAGTTTTTTATTTGAATTATTTTCGTGTGTTGTAAAATATATGTTAATTAATTGTTTTGCTTTGTTGTAGGTTGGGTTTGCCTCAAGTGACTATGGCCTCAATGAAAAACTAGCCAATGAAAGGAATTATGAGGTGAGTTTAATTTTTTTTTTTTGTGGATGGGTGCATATATGCTTTTTTCTGTATGGTTGAAGAATTACATGCTCTGCGCAAACCACTGGGCTTCATTTGCTCCAGTAACATCTTCTTTTCTGTTGGAATTTCAAGATTAGTGGAGTTTTTGAAGTCTCAGGATTTTCTTTGTGGAAATATGCTTCCGTCCTTTCTGTTTCTTGTTTTTACTTGTGATATCCTTGTTATCATGGCAATGCCTGTTGTATATCATGTGTTGTTGGATGCTTTTTTGATGTTCTGGGACTTTTGATTGCAAACTCACCCAAAGTTTCAATATACTTGGATCAGTTGTTTTTTTAAATTTGTACCTTCTGATTGTGGTTTGTATGAAACAGAGTTCTATTGCAGGAGGTGGTCTATTGAAGTGTTTTGCCTGACAGTTTCAAAAGAGTTAGGATAATAGCGAGTTGCATTCTCTCTAATGCAAGAAATATGACTTTTGTATTCCTTCAAAATTACTTCTCATAAAAATTGTCTTATGTGTTATGTTTTTCATACATGTGCACTTTTTACAAGTAGGAACTTGTTGCCTAGCTGATTTTTTACGAGTGGGAGTTCACATTGATAGAACTGGTTTTCACTCAAAAGCATTTGTAGTCTTCATGCTAGATGTGTGCTGATGGAAAGTGTACTATCCAATGGATTGTGGTGATGGAAAGTGTACTATCCAATGGATTGTGGTGATGGAAAGTGCTCTATCCAATGGATTGTGGAAAGCCATAATTTCTGGGACCATCACCTTCCAATGAAATGATGGGCAATGAAGGAGAGGGAGACCCAGCAGAACTAGATGTGACCCCCAGGATGGTTTTCCCATTCTGCAGTGTCCATTTCTTCATCAGATGGGGATGACACCAACAGTATGGGGTTTTCCAGTCCATTGGAAGAGTATTATTTTTCTTCTCTAAAATGCTCTGTATTTGAGTGTGCTTAGACATGTATACAAATTGATAATTTCCCTCTCAAATTTTAAAGAGGATGCTTTCTGCAACTCGTTATCTTGTCAGTTTTATCTGTTATATGGTATATTCTTTGTTTTACAAATGGACTCAAATATTGCCCTTAACCATGGCTTAGCCACTTAACTTATTCTCTTTGTATCAGGTTCATGTGAATGATGTGATAAACTCGAAAGGACTTTCTATCTTGCCTTCTCCTAGCTCATCCATTGATGAATCTTCTTCTTGTCTTGCGGCTGTATCTTCTTATCTTGGTCAACGTTTCAGTAACTTTATTGGTGAGATTTTGTCGAAGTTCTTGGCCATCTTAAAATCATTATTATGAGGCATTGTCATGATCGAAACTCCTTTTCTAGATGTTCCCAAAGCTTATATATACTTTTGCGTACTGGTTGGTGTTGCACACTCAAACTTCATTGATGAATACCATTTTTTTATCTTCTTTGGTGAACTATACTGACTTCTCAAAGTGTATCTAGTTCCCTTTTCATCGATGGGATGTGTCCTATAGGCCAGTAAGCTGTATAAAATTATAATTGATTGGGATCATGACTGTCCAATGAAATGATGGAAGGTGATGGTGAGAGAGCATGATCCACCAGAACAGGACATGATTGCAATGGTGGATCCCACCCTGTCTCCGTCACTGTCATTCATTTCATTTGATGGTGATGACCCAGTGACGATGGCTTTCCCAGAGTTTGTTGCATTACAGTTCACTTCTCCAATTGATTTTTTATGTAGGACTTCTTATTTTGCAGTCGATACTGTGTATAGAGATCTCGGCAAAACCGGACAAGAACCTGCACCAGCACTTTCTGGACAGCATGCAAGAACTTTATGTAACGAGTATGAATCTAAGGCAGGCTGTTCAATTTCTTCTGGAATCAATGGATCCAGTAGGAGTAGCCCACCGGTCTCTGAGAGAACACAGAGTAATCATCGGTACTATTCCTCTGTAAATACAAATGGTCAGATTGTAGAATCAACTCGTAACTTTTGGAGCGACCCTTCCATTTTTCAAGGGTATGGTACTCCCTAGCACTTCCTGATGTTTCATAGAGAATATAAATGTCTTCAATGAAATTGCCAGTATCTAAATCTGTTTATTAAAGAGATAAGATAACATTTGAAATTGCTTTGCTCTTGATCATCGTAGTTTTAATGCTAGATGAAACCAAGAAAGGGATGGCCTTAACCTTCAAGACAATTTAGACATTAAATGTCTGTTATCTTCTTTTTTGAATTATTTTTGGATGGGGGTTATTTGTCATTTGATGGGATTACTTTATAAAGTTTAGGGTTGACATTTCTATTTGAAGTTGTAAGGGCATTGAATGTGGCAACCTGTTCTATGCAGTTCCTGTAGCACTACTAGACTGGTTTAGTGAAGCTCCTATTTCTTTTTGAGGACATGTGCATCTTCAAATCCATGTTTTTGGGTTCCCATGGGGACTTGCCTCTTGGCACTATGGGTACTTAATTGGGTTTCAATGCTGAAGCGTTTTTCCTCTTCCCACCTTCCTGGCATCCTTTCTAGGTGTTTGGGTTTTCTGTCGGTACTTATTTTGTATTGAAATGCTTTCTCTCTGTACTAATTTTGTACTAAAATGCTGTCTTTATTAAAAATAATTTTTTTTGGTGATATTTTGTTTGCAGCTTTCTTCTATGCCTTTCTGACTCTGATGTAGATTGCTTTGATTGATCATGTTCTGCCATTAAATATCGAATCTGTGTTTTACAATTGTGAGCCTGATGATGTTAGTATTCTTTCATTGTGGCTATATTAGCTTAGCATGTTTTGGGTATCTATTCTGTAAATGAAGTTTAATTCGATTCCTATGGCCTCATGAGGGGTGCTTTAGTGCAGGTTGATGTTCCCTTTTTTTGGATTCAGATTCGCTTGGAAATTGGCATTTGCCTGTTTGAAATGCTCATTTATTCATGTGAGACGGACCCACAATCGAGTTCGAAGGTAACTGCTTGAATTTGTTGTGGTCTTCCCTATGAAGAGCAAAGGACGTATTTTATCAAATTGTTTAAATTGCTGTCGCTTCGCGTACTTGGGGTGTACTTTTCATATCTTCAGATTTCATATTTGTCGAGAATCTTCTCTATCTTGAGTTTTGGGAAGTATGCTATAATCCAATAGTCAATGTTGACCATATTAATTTGGGGCATCACCCTCTGATGAAAGGATGGTGAAGGTGAGAGAGTGGGATCCACCAGGAAAGGAAATGACCTCATTGTGGGTCCCACTGACTCTTAGTCACTGTCCATTTCATTTTATTGGACCGGTGATGATCCCACTGAGTTTATATAGTTTTCTTTCAGGTGAGGTTATTATCATTATTATTATTGTTATGATTATTATTATTGTTATTAGTATTATTATTATTATTATTATTATTATTATTATTATTATTATTATTATTATTATTATTATTATTATTACTATTATTATTATTATTATTATTATTATTATTATTATTATTATTACCATTCTTCTTTTGTTTTATTTGTTGAACTTGTTTTCTTATAACATCAGATAGCTTTTATCTTTTCCAGTCTCATTTCTCGTGTTCAAAAGACATTGCGCGGATCTACTGATGATATAGGGTGGTTGCAGCGCATGGCAGGCATGCCCCCAGTTGTGGATGGTACTGATCGATTCATGGAGTTGCTTGATGGGATTAGGTATCTTTAAACCATGTCAAATTATATGGCAAGCTTTTATGATAATAGGATGATAAAAATATCACTTCAGGATATACACCATTAGGTTATGGAATTTCTGGTTGCTGTCATTTTTCTTTAACAATGCACCTGTAGAGACCAGAACTCCTGTACTATTATTTCGAAAATATGCACATTAAGCCTTATTGTTGTCAGGCTTGAAGGCTTCTGCCCTCTTGAAGAACTTAAGAGCATGCAATGTAGTGGCTGGGCACTTTTCTTGCTGTCCTTTACTGTATTGAGGTCCTCCTGTGGAATCTGTTACCACCTCCTTATGTAGTTAATTGTATCCTTTCATCCACAAAAGAATAATGCAATGAATCTAGGGGCTTGTCATTTGAACCCATGTTTTTGGTATTGGTAATCAAGTACATCAGTGGAAATTCTAGCTAGCCCTTTTTTACATGTTACCACCCATTTTTTGAGCTGGAAAAGCAAAAACATTTGTGCTGATGGCAATATCTTGAGTGCAAATGGTAAACCCCCAGTATTTATTGCTAAGTAAATGTTGGGATTTACTTTAATACATGAGAAATAAACCAGAGGTTTGTTGATTCTCGGGGTCTTTTTTCTTTTGGGAAGAAGAATGGAGTTCCTTTATTCAAAACCCTATTCGTTTTTTGGCAGATATGATTGGAAGGTTATGGTCAGGGGCATTCCAAAATATGAACATCTTATGATGGACCTCATTCTCATTCAATCTTGAAATTTGTCAGATTTTTTTTTATATTTTGGAAGGGAATAATTATTTCAGTTGCCATGGGCAATTCTATCATTCAGAGAGATCTTTATGATTCTGCAGAAAAGATTACTATTTGGGTCTTTTGGATTTTTCCATAGCACCATATTCTTCCCTATGTGCAAATTCTTACGCTTGGTTGTTTTAGATGTTTCCTTGAAATATATATATATATATATATATATAGAGAGAGAGAGAGAGAGAGAGAGAGAGAGAGAGAGAGGGAACATACATACGTACACTACACTAACTACTACTACGTAGTAGTTAGTACTACGTACTACTACTACTACTAACGTACGTACTTACGTTATTACGT